GTTTAATTAGCATTTTGGTCATTTTGCTTGTTCTTTATATTTGGATTTAATTCTGGAAAGGATTACAGGTTTGGATTATGGAACCTTAGTAAACAAATAATTTTATGGTTTTTAATTTTTAAAATAATCTTTTTTTCCTTTTTGCTTTGTTTAACAAAGAAAAGCTTTTCAGTAAGACCTCTCTTGTAATAATTTTGATGTCTGTTTATTTGCAGGTCTTACATTAGTGTCTGCACCTCACCTGGCTCGGTCTTACCATCACTTATTTCCTTTGGATGCCTTTCAGGAAGTTCCCCTGGAAGAATATCAGGGGGAACGGTATGCAAATCATATTTGTGATAATGAGTGTATTTGTGGACCCTGTAATTTTTTTATCACAAAAGTAAGACTAGCCAGGAGCAGCTTCTTTGCTGCTGGAGGCACTGTTAAATGTTTGGATGGTTTTGGGTATCTCTGTCAATAACAAGTATTTGTAGTTCCAATAGTTGCCATAAATTGTTACTATGTATGAGTTGTTTTTTAAATATCATTTTACACAATCTTGACTTTTTCAGTTAAAATACACAATTTTGGTTTTAGGTGTTGTCAGGGCTGCCAGGGAGAAATGAAAGATCGAAATGTAAGTAAATTGAACTGCATTGGAATTTGCATTGAGGGGTGTCAGCAGTAGAGATCCTTTTGTATAGTCTTCTAAATACCAGAAAAATATTTGTGGAAGTTTATCTCATGGTTAACTGGAGTTCTCTGTTACAGAGTCACACCTTTTAGACTACAAGTCTGTAACAGCGTGGGAAGGGGTTTCCTAGAGAGTTGCATAAATAAGCTTCCACTCTTAGCCATTTGGAACTATCTACAGTGACTTGAGCTCAGCCCTTTGGACCTACTTGCTGTTAGAAACTTTCAGTTGGGTTTCTGTGATGTTAGCAATACAGTGTGTTTACACTGTCTTGATGACACAACTGTTGCTCTGCTGTAATACTATGATGGTGATATTTTTTTCCTAATTTGACTTATTTCTCTATCTTTTCCACACAGGTTTACATATGTAAAGCATGTCAGAATGCATTTTGCGTGGAATGCGATTTGTTTGTTCATGATTCTCTGCACTGCTGTCCTGGCTGTATTAACAAGCACGCTGCTCCTGTACCAGTATGATGTCAACAGCTTTTAGAAATTGTCTTATCTATGTCATTCTTGCATAACTCTATTTTGTTTATTCAGCTATAGCTTTTACTGAGGCACCTCAAAACTAGACAATTACACAAAGATGAACACTGGCTTGCGAGCAAATTTTAATTTTTACCTAATGTATTAATGATTTTGTTACTATTAATATATTATTGGATTATCTGTATCTGATTTATTCTTATCTGAAAAGCTCTGACTTCTTCTGAATGTTACTGTAACATGTATATTTGTAAATGTCAAAGTAATAAACTAGTTTGTATGATAATGTGATTCATCTCTGTTTCATTATTTGTTCAGAAAAGAAGCCCTGAAACTATATTTTACGTATCAGTTGTCATAAGCTCTTGCTTTTGGTGGATGAGGGAGTTCTATAGATTAAAATATTTTTTGATCTATAGAAAATATCTATAGAAAATATTCTGAGAAAATAGCAAAGAAGGTTTTGATCAATTAGTTGGGAGACATTTCAAGTGTGGCTATTCACCTTCAGTAAGGCAGCTCAAGTACAGTTTTCACAAATGTGCTGAAAACCCATTTTAGGTTTTAATGGTACAACTCAAAACTAACTGAATTCTACTGCTGCGTGTCTGTAGTTGTGTCGTTTTAAGTTTCACTTTCTTACAGGAGTGTAAGGTTACTGAAAGACAAGGAATTTTCAAAGATGTGAGACCTGAGTTCATACAAACTATTGTTTGATGATCACAGTATTGAATGTGATGCTATTTTGATTCTGAGGCTAGAATGAATTGCCAGAATTGCAAGTTTATCTCCCCTTGGCTGAACTTCCAGAGTGACAGAAACTAAGTTTTGGGGAGAAGCAGGAGTATACGTCCTTTTCTGAACACTTGAAGAATGGAAATTGAGACAAATGCAAGGCAGTCTTTGCCATTTTACAGCATCTGTTCAAAGTGTGATTACAGTTTGAACTTGTGACAATGTAACGTGCTCCACCTCGGTAAGAGGAGTTTGTGATGGTTTTCTGAAGTCATCCTAAAACATTTGAAGTAAATCCAGAGTAACTCAGTTGCTGGTGTAGCTGACAATTTTTAAAACTGTGAGCTGTGGTGTTAGATTAGGAACAGAAGCAATCTAACCAAACCACTGAATCTTAGAAGTGCAAACAAACAAAAAAGCAAACCCCTGTCTTAAATTAGTTCCCTGTTTTTCAACTTACCACATACATTCTACTTTTCAGTTTTCACAGGCAGAAAGCAAACCCCTGTCTTAAATTAGTTCCCTGTTTTTCAATTTACCACATACATGCTACTTTTCAGTTTTCATGGGCAGTTTTCAAGTCCTTTATATATGTAAATTCTCACTTGTTAATATAGCTCTTTCTTTGCTTTTTCTCCTGTTCGTGGCTGCAGGCTGGCTAGAATGCAGTAATTCTACTGTGTTGGCAGAAAAATTACTGTTTTGGCATCTGTGTTTCATTTTGTGCTGAGTCAAACAATCCAGATAAACTCTTTGTGCTATGGGGTGATAGCAGTGCCTGTTACTGTAAGGGTGTCCTAAAAACTAGCAGAAAAATGACATACTGGTTTTGGTGTGGTCTAGTACATCATTCCAACCCAAAGGAGTGCTCTACCCATCTGGCTCTTAGATATTCTCATACTGATGACAGTGTCTTGATATGGTTGTTTTCTGATAATATTTTCATCGTCATAATCATAATTTTGTAATGGAAAAGAAAGTTTTCTCAAAACACTTTAAATCCGTGCTAGCTTTTTTCTCTTGCTAGATACTAAAATAACATCCTTGGAAGTAGAGCCTCAGTAGAAGTTACATACTCCATTATCTGCTTATGGTCTGAGTAATAATTTGGCTTGTACTATTCCACCCTTCTCATTGGACAGGAAGAGCGGTTCAAACTAGGTCCTGAAAGATCCTGTCAGAGCAACATTTCTCTAATGTGTAAAGAATTCCAGCTGTGGCCTTTGTATTGAAAGCAGCAGGGAGGAAATCCTTCATCTGTACTCTGACTGGAATTCACTGGATCTCAAGTCTCCTTCGCTTGCTGGAAGCTACAACCTGCTTAATTCTTGTTCTTGTGTTCTCTTATTTACTCGATCTGCCACAAGATTAGTCGACTGGTGAGTTTACTAGCAGGCCTGTGAGAAATTCTTAGACTTCCTGAAAATGTTGCATAATATGGTTTGGACATAAAGTCTTGAAGGAAGAGACGAAAAGACAAACATCCTGTGGTAGGGTTGAGAACACAACTGTGGCAAGAAGTTTGAGGCTGAAAGGCACAGTGACTAGAGAGCACACTGCCATGTGGAGTGAAGGAGACTGGAAAAGGCAGAGTGAGTGCCCTTGCTTTCCTTCAACTTTATACTTTTCTTTCAGGAATAAAAGCGGCCATCTGTATTAATGGGCATAACTAATTTCCAAGACTAGAAGTGCTGCAAATACATTAAAACGTAAATAAACGAAATGTCTGGCTTTAGTTATGCATAACAACAGCAGCTTCTGAAGAACTTAGATGGCATCCTGCTCTGTCTTATGCAATATGAGGAACAGTTTTAATTGTAGGTTGTGATGTAGCTTATGGATAAAAAAAATGCCATAAAATAATAACTCTGAAGCATTACTGGATTGTGCAGACTGCTGGTTGAAGGGATGAGAGTAGATTAAGTCATCAAATTTGAATGAGAATCACATATCCATATTTAAGAAAAATAAATGTGTCCATAGTGCAATGCATGAAAGTATTTTTTCAAAATATAATAGAACTTGAAGACACTTTTACAAGTTTTTTAGCACTTTTTGCCTTGGGATTTGAAAATGCTTTAATTGTTAGGCACATATTTTCCTGTGAGAGAGGAATGTGATTTTTATAGCCAGTGAAAAAGAGTAGAAGCAGGTTGAAGATTGTGGATTTAGAATCACTTTCTTAAGGATTAATTTATTTAGTAAATGTTGTAAATCTCTTAAAATCCCTCAATTATTTGAGAAAACAAAGCTCTTTGAAGTTGGAGGGAGCAAAATTTGACTGTATGGAGCTGAACTGTAGGCACATTTGCTGGGTTCTGAACATAGCAAAATATTTCCTACAGTTGTCTTATCACAGTGCTAAAACCAACAAAAATTCGTTACTTCTACAGATAAGGTATATTTGAGAAGCCTAGAGTGAATACTAAACATTTAATAAAACTTTCTTGGACAGAAGTATTGACAGTATGAGTTTGTCAATAAATTTAATTACCAAATTAACTTTGTTTTCTGATGATGAAATCCCTGTTCCTTTTCATGGAGGATTATGTAATTTCTGCCAGTTACTACTTATATTGAAAACAGTTGAAATTTTAAAATACTGCAATAATTTCTTGTTTTGATTATTTTCTTTCTATTGCTCACTTCTATTTTCTCTCTTCCATTTGGCATTGCATGTTTTGCCACCAGTTTTTTTCCTAATTTAAGGAGAAATTCAAAATGTGCTAGCAACATTCAGTCATGGCTTTGAGATGAAAGTATAGAGGCATGTTGGTTTACTGGCACGGTTCTAGGTTTTTAAACTACAGGATGAAGTGCTTGGGATCTGCCAATCACCAGTGTCATCTTGCTCAGATCTCACCTGTTTATGTCTTCCTTCCCTCCATTTTGGTTGTAAAGGCGTCGGGATACTTGCTATTGTCATTATAAGGGCAGTGGTCAATGAGAGAAGTCTCAGTTGGCTAGTCAGATTTAATAATGCATCTGTTTATAACAACTCTACAGTTACCTCTTCATTTCTTAGTGAAATCAAATGTTTATAACCTGTGGAAACCATGTTAAGGTAACAGAGGTGATGACTGGATGTTATCTAAAAGATGCAGGTAATATAATTTGGTCGTCATCTTTGGTTTTTTAGAGAATGTCTATCAAAGAGGACCCTGTGTTAGAGACCAATGACAATAAAATACATGAACTATTCTCAGCACTGCAAGCTTGTTTCCCACATGTTGCCTTTGATTTTCACAAATTTGCTGAAGATATAGAGGTAGAATTCCAATAAGTCCATAAACAGCTGCGGAAAGGTTACAACCCTACCATGAGAAATGAACACAATAAAGTCCTTCTTGTCCTATACATCTCGTTCATCATGGTCTTTGATGGAAATGGCAGCTGCCGGGTTTTATCTCAGTTGTTAAATCCCTTGTGCAGTGTTTTTGCTGCGGATTAGTTTTATTTACCATAAAGGTTAGATGCACCCCGTACAAACAGCACAAGAAATTTTGTCCCACTTGTGGATTTGTCCTGGGCAAAGAGGTGGGTACTATTTCAAAGTACAGCATATGTGTTCAGAAGTTGGAGAGGAACCAGCAGGGTATGCCTACAGGTACAGCGCCGGGGATGTGAACGAATGGCCGTTCTATGCCAGAGGAACACATTCCAATTCGCTTGCCAGATTTGGGGTTTTCTTCACAGGTAATTGGAAGTGATGCTTGGAGGGATTTCTGGTTTGATTTATAAAATAGTGTAAATCTACTTAAAATACTTGAATGGGTATAACTTTTTTTTTCTTGTCACTCATCATTTTGCAATGTATTGTATGCCCCATAAATGTATTCTTTCCCAGGCTGAAAAACATAGGTAACTCAACTGTTTCTCATGTGGAAAGTGTTCCATATTTTTGCCATCCTTACTGCTGTTCCCTACCTTTTCCTATTCCAATTTTTTGACTTGACGGGACCTCAATCACATGCACTGTTTAAGATGTGGATTAATCGTGGGTTTGTATGGTGGCATAATTATACTTTTTTTCTGCTTATTTGACTGTAACAGATGCTAGGCTTACAGATCTGGTGTCTTTTCCTCTCCCCGAAAGGTGCAGACTGCTTTTTAAAGACTGGCGTTCTGTTTTCCCCACTCAGCCATAATCTACTGCACAATTGTTTGGATTTTGGATCCACTTTCTGCTGTATGGCCCCCTGAATACTCCTGAATTCTTCTGCTGTGAGCATTACCAAGTCCTTTGCAATTTAATTGTTCTTTGAATGGTTCTTTTACAGCATTGTTAACAGTTGACTCTAGCAGTTGTCTTCACTCCTTTTTATTCCTGCGATCTGGAAGAAGGTTTAGATACCTTTAGCTTGTTACTCTTGGACTTTGGGGTTTTTTTTCCAGCATGTCTGATTTTATTTTCACACTTCATCTGCCAGAGCTTTTGAGCCTTCGGTTTTCTTTGCTCTTTTTGAATTATAACCTTCTTAATTCTTGTAATCTGATTTATTTTCCTATTAGTCACACTCTTTTCCTGTAACTTTTTTTAAGAGTTTTCTAATAAATAGCACATGCTGGTATTGCACTTCCAGTAAAACATCTTTCTGAAAACTTTCAAATGCCTGTTAGACAGTTGTTGGGGAGTTTTTGTTTGGGTTTGGGTTTTTGGGTGGGTTTGGGTTTTTTGGGGTTTTGGGGTTTTTTTGGGGGGAGGGGGGAGGGCTGTTATTTAGTCAACCATTACAGTTTCCTTACCTTTACATGATTCTCACTGGTATAGTCGTGATCACGTGCCTAGAGTGTGAGCAAGTATAAAACACACAAGTGTGATTGTCTCCCAGATCTCTAACTCTTTACATGCAGGCAAGAAAGATACAGTGTAGTGTTTTGCTTGTGGTGGATGTGCGGGAAATTGGAAAGATGGTGGTGATCCATGGAGAGAACATGTTAAATGATTTCCCAGGTAAGTTAACTGACTGTCCTAGAAATATTTCTATATGAACAAAAAGGTTGATTTGTTTTGATATCTCTTTTCTTCCTCAGCAGTGATGCTGGAAAGCAAACAACCCACACACACACCTTTTTGTCTTCAAGGTGTTATATTCAGACAATTGATTTCAGCAGATCTTTATTTCTGAGAACTGCACAGTATAAGTCTGCTACTCCAACCTTTATAATTATGCTAGATATGTATTGTTTTACATACTTTCTAGATATCTCCCATGGGCTTTTCACTGAGTGAAAGCCAGCTGATTATTCCCTCAGATAGTCACCATGTTGCATGAACAGTGCTGACGGCACCAAAAAGTTTGTCTTTGTTTCATTGTCCTTTGTTGTGAAAAATCCTGAGTGTGCACCTCTTAATAACTGAAACACTGCTTTCACAATTTTAATTGGAATTAATGCTTAGGAATAACGTTTTGGGGTTTTTTTAATAGATGTGAATTCTTTCAAAGTAAGAAATAAAGTGAAGAAATTAAAAACTACATTGAAACGTACAGTGGATTTGTTGGAGTGGTGGTTATTATATAATCTATTCCAAGTCTTCCTTTATCATGGAATACACTCCAAGGGGGCACTAAGATAGGCAAATTGGGCTTTCATCCTGATTTCCACCCTTTTTGTCCTAAAAAAAAAATAAAACCAGCAACCCAAAAGCTGTATATAACTGTGTATGTAATTAACACTATGTGCTCTAGGTGGAATTTTTTTCATGTAAGTTTATTTCAATGTGTGTATCCAAGCTGCTAGCCTAGGCAGTACTTAAGCAGTCCATTGGTGAAAAGACACATACCTCCAATTGGCATTTATCCTACTCAGTGGCAGATGGATGTATTAACTCCTCATGGCACCTATACATTATTTATGGGTTATTAGGGAGACTCTAGTTGATTATGCTAAACTAAGCATTCCTGCATGTCTGAAGTCAGTTAGATGAACTCTACTCTGACAGCTCTTCTATGACTTTTTTTTTTTTGAGGAACTTACTTTCATCAGAAAAAAGTATAATATCTGTAAGATCTTTTATGATTAAAACCCCTATGCCTCAAAAATCTCAAAAAATCTGGAAGCTAAATTAGTGGATGTAAGATGAGAGGACTGCAACTATTGCTTGGAAAACACCATCTCAGATGTCCTAAGAGCATCAGTGCTCTTTCTTTAAAGCTGCTACTGTCTGAGGAGTCATTGCTTTTCATTAATAATAATCTGTCATTAGTCAATTCTGTTTTAGAAAATTCTCTCAAACTGAAAGCATTTTAAACGTTGATACTTAGTTCTAGCCCTGTTGTAATAAACTATTGTAACTAATTTGCTAAGTTAAGCAAGGCGGGTATGATAGGTTTGAATGATCTGTAAATGTTAAACCACACTATCCTGCTGTCTAAAGTATTGTAAAAATAGAATATGGTACCCTGTGTGGGTTTTGAAATGATTTGCAGTTACTATAAACTATATTACAATTAATGTTTGAATATATATGGATAAAATATAAAGTATGCCATTCGGTTTGAAAAATGTAACTACTTCTCGGAAACCTCATCACCTAGAACTGATAGGTGAACCGCTTCTTGGAAACCCCATCACCTAGAGCTAATATGTAACCTCTTCTCAGACCCCCCGCCTCCCCCCCCCCAGATAACCTGTAACTGCTACTTGAAGAAAAGCCCGCCAAAAAAATTGAATCATGAGGCTTTTAAAAGATCCAATAGGAGAAAAGCGCACCAAGAGACCAAGGCTTCAAGACTTCCAAAAGAACCCACAGGAGGAGGACAAAGACCCAAGCATCTCAAAGGACCCAATGGAGAAAAAGCAGGACAATTATCTGACGGGAGAAGATTGGTTAAAGACAATGACACAAGAGTATAAAAAACGCTGCTTTTTGGAACTCGGTGTGCGTGTGGCAGAGCTGCGGCTCTCCATGCACCCAGCGCTGCTTTGCCTATTGCTTCCCACCCTAAATTGATTGAACCCAAATAAAAATATATATTTTTATAAAAATTGGCTTTGATTATAACACTGTTTATCTATGATAGTTAGTTGTTTAATTTAATGGAAGAGTGAAATCGAAAGCATAATAGAAATAAGTATTTTTAATTTTCTACTTAGGGTAAGCATTTTACAGCTTCCTCTATCAAGAAGAATTTACCTACTGCAACAGGTAAAATAGAATATACTCTTAGCTTTTCATTAGAAAATAATGCCATCATATTTTTATTATACATCACCATTAACAGTGAAAACTACTCCAGAGTGCTGTTGGGTTTTTTTAAGCAAGATTACATGTATGAAAGATTATTGGTTCTGTATTTCTGAAATTTTTAGTACGAGTAAAAATTTGTTCTCAATAGAAGCTAAATATAAAACATGCTGCTTAAGTAGATCTATCTCACCTGCATTTGCCTGTATGAGAGGTGCAAAATTGATGAAACCTGAAGGCTTTGAAAGAAAAACAGAGAATTTTCATCTGTACTATAAATCAAGAATATATGTTATAAACTGACTTCTTAAAATTGGCTGAGTCAGAGTTTCCAATTTCTTTATTTAGCAAGCCGCAACAAGCGAAACAGCGCTGGGCAGCCGGGGGGTCTCCTGCTCCAACAACGGCCCACACCTCTCAAGGAATTTTGACTTAATTTTATACTACAAAGCATTGCATATTCATTAAACGCCTATACATATACATTTCCTAAACCCGCCTACTCCCGCTTCGTATGGTAATTAGCTTATCAGTCCTTTATGCTTGCGCAGATGCTGCTGAAAGTTACGGGTCGGGGTCTTCATATCATGGGAGGTGGTCTTTGGGAGGAAGGCCGTAGGTCCTCCTCACAGTGTGCTTTTCACCCTTCGCCTGGAATGTGATGATTTTACAAGCTTGCAGTGCTCTTATCAGTCTAGGCTCATTACTGGTCTTGAGTAAGGAGATTTTTGGACGTCCTTGTTCATGCTTTATAAAGTACAGACACTTCTCTCTCTTGTTGCCCCCCCTCCCCCTTTCTTTCACTCTTTTACACAATATCATTTCATCATGTTAGTTCAGTTAAGCACTTGCTGTTAGTTCTATATAATGTGCAATAGTTCATATGACAGTTCACCTTTCCATTGTCTTTTCACTGATTTTGATGAACAGTGTACCATCCATCACAATATACATTTTTAATTTTATGAAAGATACAGTTCTGTAGTGGTGGTTTTGCTTTGCTGTAAGCCTGAGATATTTGCAGTCTACTTCTGTCTCTGCTTTGGAGAATATGATAGCAGGCTAAAGCTTTCCTAACTGATTGAATAGCTTTGGTTGCAAAGGTGATCTTGTCTTGAGCATCTTTGAGTTTGAAGGAGTTCGACTGGACTCATAAAACTTGGCCAGCAGAAGTCCATGTGAAAGCCACTGCTCTTGCTAAAGCTGGGGTTTTCTATATAGGCTTGAACCAGGTTTGTTAGTTATACAAGTAAAAGATCCACTTCCCAATGCAGGTGTGATGGAGGTTTAAGATAATACTGGTACCTAATTAAAATCTTGCTTTAGTTTTCAGTATGGAGAGTAATGCACTGCAAAATCAGAATGGCTTTGCAAAAACCAGAGCAAGGGAATTGAAATGGAATGACCCTGTTTGAGGTAAAAGCCAGAACAGAGTTGCAAGGAGGATGTTTTCAGAAAGAAGAAAGGATTATCTGGGCAATCATATATTTATTTGTCTGGTGTTACTAAAAGGACAATAATGGCATGTATCCCAATTCTGTGGTGGTTTATTTCTCTTGATTTACTATCTATTATTTATGATTTTAAAAGCATGTAATTCCAATAACAGAGAGAGGCCACTGGAGTAACTTCATGAAATAAATGCATTGTTGCAGTTTTCATGCTTCTGGCTTAAGGGAAAAAGAATTATGTACATGACCATTTTTGAGGTGCTTGCAGGAGAAGGTGATAGGGTACAGTGCTTCAACTGTGCAGGTTGCTACAGGAATGGAGAGAAGTGAAGGTCCTGTGGAAGAACATGCAAAATGGTTCCCTGAGTGAGTGACAGCATCTTAAGACAGTTTCCTGCTGTGTGATGAGAGTTGACATACACTTTTGCTGGGTTTTTTACTACTACTTTACAAGTATATAAATAGCTTTATGTTTCTTGAGTGTATAGGCTGTTGTGCCTCTGTGAAAACCCATTTTTAAATTAAATGTAGAAATGGGTCGAAGTTTCCAAACAAAAGGATTGCTTGTCAAATCGTTTCCTCTTTCTGCTAAATGTAAAGCAATGGAAGCAATGCATTACACTAACTGCTGTATCTTTTGAAAACACCGTTCTAGTTCCAACTGCTCAGAAGTATTGTAAAGGTCACTGGAAGAGCAACCAGAGAGCCAGTACAGTCTGTACAGGTTTGCTCTTGCTGTTAGTGAAGCAGTTTACATGCTCTGTGTGTGTGTGTGTGTGTGTGTGTGTGTGTATACACTCTGGTTTGGATGTTACCCTACAGCTTCGTAAAATGGAGGCTTAACATCAACCAACAATGCTCAGTCAAGTTTCAATTCGTGCCATTTAGAAATTGATAACTTGCCATTAATAACTTCCGAAGAGGAATTGCAGCTGCCTCAATTTCTTGAGAGTGCTCTGGCACTCCCCCTGTGCTACTACTAATTGAGGTAGTATCCACTGCCCTCTCTGACAGAGGTTCTTTCTTCACAATTATTGGATTTGGACCTATTGGTTCCACATCCGAAAGTGCTATTTCTTTCATAAAAATCAGTCCTCCTCTGTCTTTTCCTTCTTCCCACAACATTATTCCCCAGGTTTTTCCTATCATCCACTCTGAATCTTGAGGACTAAGCACAGTTAAGATTATACTCTTATAAGTTCCATGGTTGATGACTCCTCCAGCCTAATTTCTAACTGGGGCCTTACATCCCTTAGGACCACGAGTGACTTGCAGAAATTTATCTGGGGGTTTTGGAGTCCAGTCTGATGCTATTGTTTCACAACCCCAATATGCACAACAGTTATAGCCAGGCAGATTACAATAACTTTTTCCAGGATTGGAACTGGGACAGAAGTAGTATTGTTTAATGTCCCACGTTGGGGATCTTTTAGATAGAGAACAGCCAGGAAATGGTAAAATTGAACAAATACGCTGTTCAAAACTAGGGGCTCCTGCAGTAATTACAGACTGAAGCACTTTTTGATCCTTCCATCTAATAAGGGTCCATTTAAATGGTTGGTGGGTTAAGGTCTGGGTATGGGTTGGGGTTATGATTCCTCCCACAGCCCAAATAATTATTAGTGAGAAAAATTGGTGGGTTCATTTTCCAATTACTAGCCAATTGCATAAACGTGTCCCCTCTCTGTCTTGCGACAGGATTTACATGCCCAGATCTTCTCCATATTTTCCAGTTTCCCTTGCCACCACAATTACCTGGACTGGTTGCTTTGAGGCTTTTCTTATTTTTCCCTCTCCATACGGCTCTGCCTCCTCTGCCTATTCCACTCCTTAGAGCAGCGGGGCTTTCCATCTTCTCGGCAGCAGTCGTATTCTTTGAGGTTAGGGTCTCGCTATCAACACCTAAACGCTTCCCAGTTCTGGGCTTTTTACTTGTGGGATTGTGCAAGGCACTTGGAGTATTCTGGGGCCTGCAAGGAACTCATAATTCTTCCCGTCAATACCCCCACTAGTAAGGCTTAACTAATTAATTTTCCCTTATATAGCACAGGTCACAGTATTCCTTTTGGGGAATAACCGTAAACGCAGTGCGTCCACCAATTCTCTTCACAAATGGTGCATTTAAAACATACAAAGAATAACAAATACAGTTAGAGGTTTTACAAAATATTACATTACTCATTCAGTCTTTCTTTCTTCGCAGCACTAGCTTCAGATCTCCTGATGTTTTAGCTACTTCCCAGCAATCAGGTGTTAAGGGTCCTTTTACTCTGGTAGCATGAGTCCATCCTTTTTCAGCAGTCCGGACAGCAGTCTCTGTCGTGAGCAAAACAAGAAATGGTCCCTCCCAACGAGGGGTTAGAAAAGATTCTTTCCAAGTTTTTATTAACACCTTGTCTCCAGGTCTTATAGAGTGCATAAAAATCTCTAAAGGTGGTCTTTGTACTACCATCCCCTTTTTGCATAGTTCTTCTATTCATGAGGCTTATTAAATATGGTTGTAAATTGTCTTTTTCCAGTATCGGGTGATCAGTGGGAAGTTCCATATCATTGGGCATACCATACAGCATTTGGGGATATGCCAGTACCGGTTCGCAGCTGGATTCGAATATTCAGAAGCACTAGGGGTAAGCACTTAACCCAAGACATTTTTGTTTCGAACATTAATTTGCTAAGTTGTTTCTTGATTTCCCCATTCATTCTTTCTACTTTCCCTGAGTTTTGTGGATGCCAAGGAGTGTGAAATTCCCACTTGGTCCCTAGGGAAGTTAATGTCTCTTTAACTACTTTAGATACAAAATGGGGGCCTCTGTCGGAATCGACTACTTCTCTATTTCCATACCTAGGGATGATGTTTTCTAAGAGTATTTTTACCACCGTGTTTGCTGTTGCTCGAGCAGTGGGAAAGGCTTCTACATAATATGTGAGATGATCTACCAATACTAGGAGGTATCTGTACCGTCCTACTTTTGGTAGTTCCATAAAATCAATGTGAATGGTCTGTAAGCTAAATCCCTTCCACCTTGAACCTTTTCTCTTAATTGATGCTTATTAATCTTCTGGCATGTTAAACAACTTTTTACTATTCCCTTAGCAACATTATAAACTCCTATGCACATGTATTTAATAGCAAACTGATCTACTAATGCTTGTACTCCCCAGTGAGTTTTAGTATGGAGGTCCTTCATAACTCTCCAAGCCACTGCCTTTGGGAGAACCTTCTTCCCATCAGGCAATTCCCATTTTCCTTGTTTTTCATTGATTCCCATTTGTTCTAACTTTTCTTTCTCCTGACTAGTGAATGTGAACCCCAATTTAGCGGGTTCTGTTCGTTCGTTTGTGTTTGATTCTGTTAGTCAGCACCAGTAGTGCAGCCCGTTTTGCCTCTTGATCACCAGAATATTTCCTCCGATCTGTAGTGAGGTGCCCTGTTGGTGTCCCCTTATATGCACTACTGCTATTCTTTTAGGGCCTCTTAATGCTTGAAGAGTCTGGATAATTAGAGACTCATGTATTAACCCTTTTCCTTGCGAATTAATGAGTCCCCTTTCTTCCCAAATTTTTTCCAAAAGTGTGAATTACCCCAAAGGCATATTTAGAGTCCGTATAAATTGTCCCTTCTTTTCCTTTTAAAATCTGTAATGCCCTTAGTACCGCATATAATTCACAAGCTTGAGCTGACCAACTAGGACTCAGTGGTCCTGACTCTATTACTTCTAGGGTGACTCCACCAATAATTGCATAACCTGATTTTCTCTTTCCTTCTACCACTTTAGAGGATCCATCTACAAAAAGCTTTTCCCCTTCTTTTAATTCTGTTTCTTCTAAGTCTGGCCTGATTTTTGTCTGTTCCTCAATGGTATGGAGGCAATTATGGTTTAAACTTTCACTTGGTTCCCCATACAGGAATTGTGCTGGATTTTGAAGGCTAGTTACTTCAATCTCTAACTTTGGTGAGTGTATTAATATTCCTTCATATTTGAGGAGTCTTGCGTCTGTTATCCATTTATCTGCTTTCTGTTGAAGCACTCCTCTGATGTTATGGGGGGTTAACACTTTCAGATCTCCCCCAAATGTGATTTTATTAGCCTCTTCTACTAACAAGGCCACTGCCACTATTGCTTGAAGGCATGTTGGCCATCCCCTACTTAGAGGGTCTAGCAGTTTAGATATGTATCCTACAGGCTTCTTCCTAATATCTACCCAAGACTTAGACACAAACTGAGTTTTTAACAATGCCTGCCCCACAGGGGTGGCAGGATCTACTCCTGAGTATAACTGTAAGCTTTTTCTCAATCTTTCAAGCCATTCAGTGGGTGTTTCATCCTTCTTCTGCTGTTCACTTAAAGCTTTATTAATATTCTGCCCTCAGGGAACTGACTCCCTAATTCCTTGAATTATAATCATTCTTAAATCTGCCATATGGGTTCGGTGGCCTGGGTCTTGATTATTCCAATTAGGTCTTAATAACGGCCACTTCTGATCTGCTGCAGGACCCAGTTGATGTTGCTGGTCCCAAAGTCTCATACCTGCCCTCCTAATCATATCTCGCTCCTCCATGGTAAATAAAATTCCTAGGATAAATTGTAATTCATCCCAGGTATATAAATTTGGGCCAAGAAATTGGTCTACCCGTTTGGCTACGCCAATTGGATCCTCCAATAGGTTCCCCATTTCTTTTTTTAAGTCCCTCACATCTCCAGTGTTAAGGGGAACAGCAACATACCCTGCTCCTGGTTCTCCTTGTGCCCCTGCTCCTGGCACAAACATCTCCCTAAGAGGGTATAATCTCCCTTCCTTAACCTTACTTCGGGTGACCCGCTGAGGGGGTTTGGGAGATTCAGGGTCAGAATCAGAATTATTTTGTTCATCTGAATTCTGGGGAGATGGTCCTTGATGGTTTGGGGCATATGGAGGTGGCCATAAGTGATCGTCTGATTCCACACGAGGTTTCTCATGTTTCTTTTCCTTAAGGGGAAACAGAGAAACCGGCTCTGGAGTTTGGGACATCCAGACAGCAGCATACTCACTCTCTTCGAGATTTTTGGGTTGTTTGTTATTTACCCACATATTTAGTTCTTGACATAGCCAATCATCAAAGGACCCAAACATGGGCCAAAATATATGTGGGCTCTGGAGGGGCTGTCCTCCCCATACCTTAATACAATAATATATCATCTTCTTTTTGCTTTTATCCTTGTTTCTTGGGGAATTATTCCAATTCTTTAACATTACTCCTAAAGGACTACCTGGTGGGATATCTGGAAACTTTCCCTTGCCCCCACCCTTGGATCCAGAGGGCTTGCTCTTCCTCTGTCCCGTCTTCCAGAGTGCCTTCTTTCACACACACACACGCTTCCCCTTATTCGTGACTCACTCCCTCGTGGGCTACGAGAACTGCACTACTACAGGTTCCGCACTCAGGTGATCTCTTCGAGACCTCTCACTCACTCACACTTCTGGGATCACCAACCCCAACCGAATCGGAGTATCGCAAATACTTACTGCTCCCTGGAGTCTTCGACCGGTCTTTGTGCACGAAATTTAAGGGGTTCTGCAGATTCTTTTGCTCACTCTCGAGTCCGAATTAAGGGGGTTCGGATATCCAGCGTTTGGCCACGAAATTCCCAGGCTGGGGCTATCCGAAGATAGGGCGCCTCGCCTGACCTGAGGTTTCGTACCAAAAGATCTGGATCCGAGTCACGGCACCAAATTTGTTATGGATTAATCATAATTTAAAATGAAATCACCACCTTCAAATTTGTTTCAGTGGTCAGTAAAATTTATTATCAAGCGAAAGTGAGCAAAACAGCGCTGGGTGTGCCGGGGAGGCTTTGCTCCACCAAGACACACCCCTTACATCCCGAAACGGAGTCCTTTCAAAGTGCAGCCTTCATGAATATTCATGAGGGTGGGGGTGCTCCCTGAGGGGTTTGCAAGTCGTCAACAACTTTTCGCGGGGTTTTCCTTCGCGGGGTTTTTGTGGCCAGGGAAGGTTCGCCGGCCTTCCACCGCGGGGAAGGAGGGGACGGCTCAGCACAGGTGGGCAGGTAGCCATAGTCCAGACATGTCCGGACATACCACCATTTGGCCTGAAGACGGCGGCCATTTTAACTCCCTTTTAACAACTGATTTTAACCATAAAAAACTATATACATAACGCCTTATCTCTTTTTAAACCTTAGGTTACATGTAAAGTGCAAAAACATTTAGAGGCATAACACTGTCTGACCACAACAAAGTTCAGGTACAATACAACCTGATGTTAACACAATTTCTTTTCATATTTAATTTACTGAATAATATATTTAACCATAACTTGAGATTTGAATAACAAATATCATATAGGTTTTATTACACTCACAGTGTACTTTTCACCCTTCGCCTGGAATGTGATGATTTTACAAGCTTGCAGTGCTCTTATCAGTCTAGGCTCATTACTGGTCTTGAGTAAGGTGATTTTTGGACGTCCTTGTTCATGCTTTATAAGGTACAGGCACTTCTCTCTCTTGTTGCCCCCCCTCCCCCTTTCTTTCACTCTTTTAAACAATATCATTTTATCATGTTAGTTCAGTTAAGCACTTGCTGTTAGTTCTATATAATTTGCAATAGTTCACATGACAGTTCACCTTTCCATTGTCTTTTCGCTGATTTTGATGAACAGTGTACCGTCCATCACAATCCCCCCTTTTTCTTTTTACCATTTTGTTCATCAAATCTTTTTATTACATCTTTTGCTATTTCCAAAATAAGGGTTTTACTTGTCTTGGTTTTGTTCTTCCCAATTTGTTCATACTGTCTCCTTTTAAGTGGGCTGCCTCTAATCTGTTCTTTACAATTACTACTATTTTATTAAAAATACAAGGTTCAAATGTTAATACCAAAATTATTAAAATTAGAGGTCCAGCTATGGTTGATAACAGTGTTGTTAGCCATGGGGAATGACTGAACTATGATTCGAACCATCCTCTGCTACCACTCTTTTTTTCTTTCACTTCCTCTAGAATGGGAAGTAAATCTTCATGCTGTAGCATTTCTTTCAGCCTTTTCAAATTCATTCCTATTCTTCTGTTTCTATTTAGGATAGGTGGTTTTAGGCCTAAACAACACATGCGCTTTGGGCTGGGGGCGTGGAAATCCTTTTTCTAGCTGCGTATTTGGAATTCCATTTTGGAGCTCTGGAAACTATCACAACCATTATGGATTGCATTTCTGCTCTGGCTTTAATTCTTGTTTTATCGGCTATTGCCTTATTTGTTATATGTTTCTTTTTTGTTGGTGTGAATGTCAATTTTGTAAGTTATCTTCACGTTCCTCTGCTGCTTCACCTGAATCTCCTCAGCAGCAACCACTGCAATAATCTGTTGATTCTTCTGCATCTCCTCCTCAACTATCGTCCCCTTCTGCTGCTGTTCCTGCTGCTGCTGTGCCTGAACCTCAACCATTGACCTCTTCCGCTGTTTTGCCTGAGCCTCAACCGTCATGTTCTTCTGTTTTATCCGAATTTCAACTGCCTTCGTGTTCTTTTGCTGACTCTCTGGAATCTCAAGTTTAGTTTGTAAGATGTCTTTGTTTTATAAAGTTAATTTGTTTTAATAATTGTTAAAAATAGTAATATTGTTTACTTGTTTTGGTTTGAAGTTACAATAGAATTTTCTAGATTCGAATGACACATGCGCTTTGGGATAAAAGGGGGGTGCGGAGAGCCTTTTTCCCACTGTGCATGCCGATCCCGATCCCAGCAGACCGGAGCAGCCGACCATGTGGACTCGCAGGGTACCATCAGCTTGTACTATTTTGTTGTTTATAATTACAAAAAAAAATGGATCATATTTTATAATATTTTTAATTCATGTTACCTTTTTTGCCTTGTTGGCAATCATTTTGCTTATTATTTTTATACTTTTGTTTTGTCCCTATAAATGTTTTCCCTGAAGACTGTCACTGCATCCCTCTGCTGATTCGGCAGGGCCTTAAAATCAGTTTATAAAATGTTATATTTGTTAAAATTGTGCCAGGTTATATGTTTGTTAGATAAAAATGTTTATAGTTGTTAAGAATATTGTTAAAAATATATACTTGTTAAACTAAGATGTTTTGTAGTAAAGAATACTATTAAAATATATATATATACTTGTTAGTTATGATATTGCACTTTTTCTATCTTTTTTCTTTCTCTTTCTGTACTGTTATCTTTCACACCACCATGATGGCAGCAATGTTGAGCCACGGGGTGGTGTAAGGGACTTTTTGGACTTTTGATTTGTCTCAGCATTGCTGCCTCCATGAACACCACTTCCTGGCAACAGCATCCTGTTGTTGAGGAGGAGTACGTTTAGAAGGAGACAAATAGTCCCTGACTAAACTACAACATCCGCTAAAGGCAAAAAACAACAGCAGCCTTACCAGCACCCATCGAACTGCACCTGCACGCAAGCCAGGTGGAGGGGAAACCACGGCGAGGATGAAGACGCCGCAGATCGGCCCCTCACCAGCACGACTACCATGGACACCTGGGCATGCGCGTACGGAGGACCATGGGGCAGCATATAGAGCAACGAGCCCCATGGAGATGGGCGGATAAATCGTGGGGACGGGGACTATAAAAGGACAGACTACGTACTCCTCTGAGAGAGAAACTGAAGAAGATGATTGTTAGAGGATGCTGTTTGGTGGAGACTAACACGGAGCCAAGAAAGTGGAGCATCATCAAGCCACCAGAACATCGCTGGATCCCTGGTCGTGGTGGTGGTAATTAGTTGCGCCTTTACCGTGTTCTTGCTTAGGGATTCTGACCTTTTCCTTCTTTTCCTCTCTGTCCTATCGCTCTGATCAGTTGTTATAGAGAATAAAGTTTCTAAGGTGATACAGCATCTGACCTCGTTTGTGTCTTAATCTCGCTTTAGACTTGGTTCATATTCGTAAAAGACCTATAGGGAGAGATAGAGGCCAAGCCAAATTAGTCTCCTATCCAAGTTTCACAATTTGTTGTTTGATCAAAAGATTGATCTTTTCTACCTTATTACTCGACTGGGGATGGTATGGAATATGAGCTGCCAATCTCATAATGGAGGGGTAAAGTTTAGTGAGCCTGTGGTTACCTGTGTCTGGATTACTCATTGATTCTGCTACAGTATCAAAGACGATTTATAGGGCTTATGAGGGTTATTCCTAAATGTTTCAGCATTTACGGAAAAAATGAGCCAAACAATTATCCACAACGCTATCCATACTCTTAAGATAATTGGTGGGTTCCTAGTATGGTTAAAAAGTCTTACTTCTTCTCTAAGTGTTAATTCCTTTAGTATCTTGGGTGTCATGCCTTTGATCCCTCTGAGGTCTCCTCTTGTGGACCTGGAGAGGCCTGGTCAATATAGAGAGATTGGTAGTTTTAGCCCCACATCATTACGTCTTTTGATGAACAAACAGTGTACCATCCATCACCACTTGCACGTTCCCATCACCCAGCCCCGCAGTGGCTGGGCAGCCCCGGTTGCAGCAAGGGTTTGAAGAGCCTGTCCCGGCAAGGGGGAAATCCTACGCGGTGCCTCCATCCATAGGTGAGGCTTCCAAAGTAGCTGTGAGCGGGTCCAGCCATATATATACCCAAAAATCAGCAAGCCAGAATATCTGGCACCTTCATTTTAAGCAGAAATAATCTGGTTTCAATCTCACATTAGATTCCCCCAGAGCCTGGTCAGGGCTCAAGGGAGAAGCAAAGGGAGTTTCCCTGCTTATCTAGTTGATTTATGATCAAGGTCACACATCAGGTCACAGTGCCAGATAACTGTCTCTGTGGCCCTGTTATCTTGCCCACACACAAAGGAAGATAAGGATATATTCAAGATACACATGTTTTATGATGTTTAAGCTACATCTTCTATGCATATTACACTAATGATTACACACCAGGTTAGCAGTTTCAGTTCAGGGCCTGTTGCTCAGGCTTCAACACGTCGACCTTTTACATCAGAATAGGTAGTTTGTTATAACTTAGTATAATACCTATTAGCACAGTGGTTATCAGTTATCAAATATACAGGATACATCTATAGGTCAAATCTGGCTTGGGCCAGTTGTCCAAGCCTTAGCACTTCAAGCAGGGATAACCTTCCACTGTCTTTTGCTTCTGGTGCTTCCTTTTTCCAAATACTATGGCTATTTCAAGGGAGTGGTTTTGCTGATACCTATGTGTGAACTTCTGAGCAAAGAGTTCATTCAGAATAAGTTTTACTGAGTTGCTGCAGAATAGTACTGATGTGCAAGCACAGAATTAATAACTCAGAAGTAAATTTTCTATAGTTGTATTGCCCAGACACTTTCTTTACTAGCCTTCAGTAAATCCAGAAATGTCTATTATTGACAACCAGAAATGCCAAAACTATTTGAGATATACATGTATCAGATGGAGGCATTTTGTAAGATTTGAAGGCACTGAAAGCATGTTTTAGAGCTATGAAAGCATAATAATAGTTTTAAACTCATGTTACTGAAATGGTGGAGGGAACAATAAAAGTCATAGCTGCCAGTTTATTAATGAAGATTCTTTGTATTCACCAACATGCATATCTCCGTTTTACTGCAAGTAACTGAGGCTGTTTCTGGTAGGAAGCCCTAGTTCCCCAGGCTACGGCATAAGTATACACTATTTTGTCTGAAATTCTTCAGAAAAGGAGCTCTCTAGTGTCATCTCTTAGTAAAAGTGCAGGAAGTCAGTGAACATTTGTGGGGTTCATTGTACTTAAGTTGAATATGCAGAGAATAAAATGATGCTTCATATGAGTGACAGATTACTGTGGGTTTTTTTGACAATACATATACTGCATATCTGTATAATTATATTAATGTAAAAGTACATTTGCCTTATTTCAGCCATTTGAAAATACCAAAGTACAGCTCTGATACATTTATTTTGGGACAGATTATCGATTTTGTGGAATAGCTCTATACAGAATTGATGCTCTGTACAAAAACTTAGAAACCCTATCAGAGCAACAGCTTTAGAGAGTGTGATGCAGAGACTCAGCAGCTCTGTAGGAAGTTAATTTGTGTCCAGAAAGGATGTTTAGGTCAAGTTTAACATTACTATGTTTGCATGGTGCCAACTGAATGTTTCTGCACCACTCTCTGAGACTACTTGTGAGGCTGGTAGTCCACTTGTTTATTGACACAGTGCTGCATCTAAGCTAATTATTCTTTCCAGACCTTGGAAGGCCAGGGATTGTTGCACTGAGACACCAGCATGTCTCTGAACAGAGCTAGGTCATGTCCATCAAAGCTTTTTAACTCAAATATATCACTTGATTACTTGCTACACACAAACTAACCCCACATTAAACAACATGGGTGCAAAGCCAACTGAGTAGAACGAAGAGAACCTGGGAATTTGGTTTATACAGAAGTTGTTATAACATTTTTTTCCATTATCTAGGAAATCTCAGGTTCTTATTACTCCAATTTAATGTACAGCTGACTATATTTGGCTTTTGTATACAGAATCAATTTTTCACTAATTTTTATTACTTAATGTCATCCTTTTTGCAGACAGGATACCTGTTGAAAGTCAGTGTCTTCAAGAAGCAAAGAACTTGGCCAAACAACTTACAGAGGTTCACAGTGATAACAGCTTCAGTAAATAGTTTTCCTTTGGGAACTCAAACCATTTGGCTATTGACTTGAAATTACTCTGTAGGATCCTATCAGTTGTCTCAAAGGATATTAACGATCACTCACTACAGCAGCTCTTTCTTCATTAAATCCTTGCAAACCTTAACTCTGCCATTGTGCTGGAAGGTGCAGCAAGAAGTGAAAAAACAGCATTGTTCAGGAAGATAGCTCTTCTTTGAGCTTCAGGCTGCTGCCCCATTTTGAACAGGTTTAAGTTCGTATTTTATCGCTCCCTGAGTTATGCAAGGTCAGATCAGAGCATGGTTGATATTATATGCAATCTTCCAATAGGATTTGTGGGACCATTAACAGCAACAACTCTAAGAGATGTAATTCATCCACTGAAAAAACAGGTCTTAATTCTTTTGGATGAGTATAGTAAGATGAATTCAGTGCCCCACATTGTAAAAGAACTTTGCAACGACCACTTTAAGCACTGCAGAATTCCCTCTGTCCATCACTGGGTGTGTACTAAAGAAATTTCTCCTACAATATTGACCTTGTGAAGCAGCTTCTCTTTCAGCTGGTTGGTACTTGAAAGTCTATGCAGACCATTGAAAAGACACCACTTTTTATGGGGTCTCTCACTGCATATTGGGTACAGCACCCAAAGCATAACATAATCAGTTATAAGGCTATTTTTAAAGCCTATCATCTGCTCTGTCACTTACTAAAATGCAGTGAAGAAAGAGAACATATACCAGCTATGTTTTCCTCATGTGATGAGCTTGCCTTAACAAGTCTTTCTAAGCCATCCTTTGACTTCACTGAGTGTGATCTGAAGCAGGAGTTGATGGAGATGAAGATGTTAGGCTGGGTTTACTGAGCAAATTTACTGCTCAAAGGCTTCATCCAGTTTATAAATTCTTTCACCTCTTGTTCCAGGAGTTTGTTGCAGGGAGAAGACTGAACTCCTGGTTTCTGATGAAAAAGAAAAACTGGAGTAAGGGCTTCAGTACTTGCGGCAAGTCAACACATTTAGACTAGAGCTGGGTGCTATAGCTTTTTTATAGGTCTACACTTGCAGCTTTTCTCCAAAGCAGTCCCCAAAATTATATCATATTTATTTAAACTGATAGATTGCAAGGAGTCATTGGAAAGCTAGTCAGAAAATTAACATCTGCAGAAACATTCAGCCCTTCCAATAAGTATGTTCTTCATTGACCAGTTAAGTTTTATTGATCCAAAACTGCTTCTTCCAGTTTTCATTCAGTATTTACTGGACTTTGCTAGTTCTGTAGTTTATGAGAGTAGTACTGTTTTGTAGTGCTTTTTAGTTCCTAAGAAGCAAAGGTATTTTTTTAAGTCCATTTTTATCACCACAGAAATCTAAGTTGTGTTTTTTTCAGGATTACCCAGAATCACTGTCTCTACTCAGTAGTTTTCAGGTTGCAGGACAAGGAAGTGAACACAAACAAGAATTTAATATATCTGAAATAGGTCCTAGCTATTCTTCATTGGAGATGCCAATAATTGACAGGGATTATGCTCCTGCTTTTACACATTTTAATGACATAGCGCAAAGTTGGACTGGATGATTTTCAAGGTCTTTTCCATCCTAGACAATTCTGTGATTCTGTGAAAAAGTGAAAGAAGATGAAAAAAACTATCAGCTTTTTTTCACAGGTGCAAGGACATCTACCAGATTCCATTGTGTGTCCTCTCCTACTTAACACAGGGAAGATGCTGCTTTTAAAATGTACGTTCAGCAACATAGTTCCTTTCAGGAAGCTGACCTCAGAAATTTAATGTTTTCTGGTTTGGGTTATATTGAACTTCAGCTGCATAAGAGTCTTGGATTTGTAGAAGTTATCCAACCTGCTATTGAACAGTTCAAGGAACATTTTAAAAAAATTTAATTTCCATCCTCCTAACTTGAGGATAACAGATCAAGAATTACTTCTTTTAATGTCTTTTGTGGAATGTCTTGAGATAGATGAAAAAGAAATGCCAGATACAGCATACTGAATTTTGGCAGAATGTAACTTTTCTTTCTAGTTCCCTTTTTCTTCCTCTCTGCTTAGTGCCTGACATCTGAACAGCTCCATATACATGAATAATAAAGCTGTCTTCTACTATATGCATTTCAGAGGATAGGCAGCCATTATGCATTAATGGATTTCCATCCTGGCCCCTAATTTCAGACTATGACCTCAATACTGGCTTTTGATCTAAGAGGTGTATGTCACTACAGGGGCGGCACTGCACTTTAGCAGTTCTCTGTGCAATACAGAGGACAAGCTAGGAGGCACCAACAAACATGCGCTTTCTGCTTGGAGCAATCTGACTAGGTCTGCACTGGGCTTTCAAAACAGAATATTGGGCAGTACATGAGCCTTTATGGGATTCTAGCAGACGTATGCTCAGGCTGCAAGCAGCAGAAGCCTCAGTGAAGAATCGGTTGGCAGGGAAGGGCAGTGGTACAAAGAGGATAGGAAGAAGCAGTCAAGAGAAGGGAAGCCAAAGATGTTAGGATGTGAGATAGTGAAGTTCAGATACAGAAACCTTGGCAAATTGTCAGAAGAACAGAGGGACTGAGCAGATCAACACAATTTCATTGTACATTTGTCTGGCTTCATTGCAGAAATTCTTTTTTCAAAACTGGACAAATTAATCTGCCTGGAGAAACTGTCAGTGAGTGTGCTGGGTTTGTGTGGTGGTGGTTTTGGTAGCCAGGGAGGGAGCTACAGCAGCAGCCCCTATGAGAAGCTTCTTGAAGCTCCCCTGGCTCCTAGTCAGACCTGCCTCTGGCCAAGGACAAGACAATTAACGATAATGGCTATGCCTCTGTGATAACAGAGAAAGGAGCAGGGGGACTTTACGAAGGAGTTTCAAGGAGGACACATATGCAAACATCAAGGTCAGTGGAAGGAAGGAGAAGGAAGCGGGGGGAGGTGCACTGGTGCAGATGTAAGCCAAAACATCTTGCTAACAATTTTTTTTTTCTTCATCTTGTTTTTTTGTCTTGCTAAATATTTTTTTTGAGAATGAAGTAGGTCAATGTCAGTGTAGCTTCTGAAATGTGCAGCTGAAGGTTGGTGCTTTTGTGAAGAAGAAAGGGGTTTGGAGACAGAAATAAGACAATTAGACAGAATAGAACAGAAATAAGACAATAAGACAGTTGGGGCCTATTCTTGAAGATAACAGGAACAAGCTCAGGACAAATTAAAACAAACCAGCTCAAGATACAACACAGCTGCCCAACTCCTCCTAAACAGACCTCTGTGAGCTTGAGTGAGCACTGAGGTCAACCAGCAGACATGGTGAGGAAGACTACCAATGACCACCGGGGACCCCTCGAGACCACAACCCAGCAAGGAAGCGCATGCATAATTAGGATGTAGATATTGCAGTTAATTCCAGGAAATCTAATGTAACTAATTTCTTGGAAAAATTATGAGCATGTATAATCTGACTGTATATTAACTGCCACTTACAGATACGGGGGTGCACTCACCTTTGTGAAGCTATTTGCATGTGCACCCAGCGCTGCAATAAAGAATGCTGCTTTCTAACGCTCCAAAATGAGTCTTAAGAGTGTTCCTCTGCCGGCTTTTAGAGTAACACAGATACCCCCTGTATCCCATGGTGAGATGGCAGTGTCACCAGAACATGATAGAAGAACTTATTGACACCAATGTGATGTAGATAAGCAGACACTCCTTTATTAATGGTTGGGTGCGCAGGGGAGTCGTCTCACCAACAACGCACACCTAACTCGTGTAGCGTGCTGATTATATAGGATACACTAATACATATTAATCAAGATCTCATATATAAACATGCTAATTTCTGTAACTCATCTTCATGTTCCCACCTCTTTGCAGTCATGCGCACCTGAGTCCTGAAATGAGTCGGGGGGCAGGTTTGGCAACCACCACGGACTACTGACCTAAAAGAAAGACCCCCCAATGTCCTTGGCTCAAGGATTTTGGCTCACATTGTGATTTTAACATGCTTTTAGTCCCTTTCACAATGTAACTTCTAGAACACCTGGTTTACAGGGCAATAAATTGTCCTTACTGAACAGTCTAACAGTGGTACCTCATCATGAATCTTATTAGAACAGAAATCTGGTTAATGATTATTACCAGCCTATGTGGCCTTAGCCTGGGACTTTACAAAGGACTGTATAGCAGCATAACTGGTTGTATGGTTACTCTAAATCATTTCTTATTTAAATCCAAATCATGAAAATCAGCTCAAATTAATAACAAAACAGTAACAGCAGGGCCGCCTCCCTGCCAACCATGAAGGTCACAGGAAGAGCAGAGCTTTGCCTGCAGCCTGTAGAGGACCCCTGGGACTCTGTGGGTAGAAGAAGCCCGCACTGTTGTAGTTGGGCACTGGGAAGACTGCAACACGTGGAGGCAATCCATGCTGGAATGTTACCGGAAATAAAGACTCTGGAAACCAAGATTAGTTTAGAGAGGAGATACTGCTTGATTCTGTGCAGGGTGCTAGGTGGAAAGCATCCACAAATCAAGCACACCACACAAAAGAACTTCAAAGTATTTATATATTCCAAACTACAGGATTACGTATTTACTATAATGATTATTGGTTAATTACTTATTACTTCTATCCCTTGTTGGTTAGTAACATACTCGCTCCAATTTTCTGTGCAAGCTAAAAGGGTGAGGGTGTTTCAGGATCTTAAACTGCTGATTTACACAAAAAATTTTAACAAACTTCCATGGTCCAGGATGTTTCTCTTTTTCAAGGACAGTAGCTTCTGATTAGATCCTTATTAATTATTGTTGATCATTTGAAGAACAGACTGACCTATCTGATCCATCCAGTTTGTTCTTGTATTTGACGAGAAACATTTGTATGGACGATAATATACACTATGTGTCCTTGGGTACAATGAGAAACATTTGTGGGGCCTGCAATGTGTAATGGGAAACAGTTTTGCAGCCTACAATTCCCAGTAAACAATACATTATTTCCTATGGATAGTAAATACATAAAAATTAAGCAACTCTGAACAAAGTCCTTTGTTCAGGGTAACAGGAGCATCTGGAGAAGAATGCACCCCATGGGGAGGATTCATTGCAGAGAAAGTTTGTAGAGGCCTGTCTCCCATCACAGGGATGCCACATGGGGTGGTGGGAAGAATGCAGAGGAGTGCTTCCTCCTGACCTTGGAGGAAGGAGCGTCAGACTGAGTGCACCCCTCATCCCCTCCCCCTGTGCCACTGGGGAAGAAAGTAGAAATATCAGGAAAAAAAAGCTGGGCCCAGGAAGAAGGGAGAGGTGGGGTGAGATGTTTTTGAGATATAGTAATTTTTCTCACTGTCCCATTCTGTCAAGTGTTGGTTTTGTTAGTGTTTGAATTAAAGTGATGTTCTTGTTTTCTTCCCCTGATGTCTGTCTTTTGCCTGCGACTGTTTAAATGGGTGAGTAACACCTCCCTGTCCTGATCTTAATTCCCGAGACATTTTTTGTTTAATTTTTCTCCTTCCCAGCACTGGGACTAAAGGAGTGAATGAATGGCTGCTTAGTGTTCATTTGCCCTCTGGGCCTAAACCATGATAGTGAGTCAGTATGAGAACTGCAGCATATTTGATACAATACCTGCTGACTTCATGAACCTCTGTAACATGAAGACATTTTTGATGAGCAGAATGAAGCTTGAAAACTGTTCTAGGCTGAGTAAGGTGCACTTTAAAACTTCAAGTACTGTATTTCACTAGAACTTGTTAATACCAAGTAGCAGTTTTAATTTCTCCTTTAACAGGCATGTAGCTTCTCTGTGTTGTCTTCCCATTGCTTCTGCCCTACAGCTTCTACTTTGAGTTTACTACCCCAATAAAAAAAGAGGAGATGAATCTTTCAGTGCTGTAAATTCATTGACCTCCATAAGTTAGTGTGGAGGAGTGAGCAGGACTGTATTCTTTGTTTTCCTGGTGTGATTATTTTTCCTTCTTGCTACTCACAGTCTGCTGTGAGGGAGAAGGAGCACAACTGGCAACTGAGTCCAGTTCATGTGCATAGCTGCTCTGACAGGTCAGTGAGTGGGTCGTGCCCTCTGTTTTGTGTGGCCTTATTCCAGGAAGACACTTACTTTTCAGTCTGAGGCCCCTAGATAACAGATTTTTTTGTACACTATGATAATAACTACCCAGCTCTACTTCAATATAAACATACAGTATAAACCAACAGCATTCAGTGAACTCTACCCTCAATATCTCAATAGCATTTTACAATGTACCTAAAACTAATAATTTTAGGGGAAAGGTGTTCTGCTAAATGTCAAAAAAATATTTTTTCATATGTGAAAGAGACTGGAAATGCATCTATAGCAAATCTTGCTTGCATTTTGGCCAGAATGATCCATTACAGTTCTAATTACAAAATAAAACACAGGCCGTCTGATTTTAACATTTAAACTGAGGAATCAATTTGCTGCTCCCACTCATCTTTTTATCTGTCCCATTTGCTTTTGTTATGATATGAGATGCTTCCCTCTACAGTAAAATTCACAGGTGGAGCTAGGATACCCTTCTTGATTTTTGACCTTTGTTCACTAAATTTCCATTGTTGTAACACTTTGTTTTGTGGTTGAATTTATTAAGCACTTCCAAGATATCTCTGTTTTTCACCTGGACTTCTTCAGCTACTTCAATTCTGAATTCCTTCTGGCAGCAATTTCTTCATGCAAGAAATCAAGATAACTGCGTCATTTTTGAGAGATCAAGATTTTATTTTTTTCAGGTGTGATTTTTTTTTTTTAATACAGAAAACTCACTTTAAAAAACTTAGTAGTTGAGAGAAACTTCTAACTTCCAGGTCCAAGAATGAAAACTTATACTTTCCTTTCCTCCTACTTGCTGCTCTGCCCAATTTTGTCTTTCTCAAAGGCTGGATCTTAAAAGCCAGTATTTTGATGACAAGGAAGCTTGTGAAATCATTGGTTTTTACATAGCTTTCATTTTGGCTGATCTAATTTGACAGAATTATTTTGTTTCAGGTTCTTTTGAAGATCTTAAGAAATAACTTGAACAGCCTAAATGCCATCTGAGATACTGGAGAGTATCTAGAACTAGAATGTTAAATCAGGTATCACAAAGCAGTTTGTGATGAAGGGCATGCATTCATGTCCTTCTGAAGGATGAGCTGAGTGAGATGGGTGGCTGTCATAAACTATGGAATCAAAGATGTTCAGCACCTCTGAAAGCCAAGATGGTCCTCCTGCAAAAGCCATGTCTATAGGGAACAGGGAAATGTTGAAAAGGCTTGAATTTGGGGAAGGGAGGATTACCCTAATTTGTTTTTCTTTCCTCTGGGTCCCTTGAGTTTGGCAATATGGAGGATTCTTTTTATCTTTAGAGGACTCAGTGAGACCCCTTAGACCCTTTCTGAACAAGTTCTGCCTTATCTGTTGACAACCTTTACAAGATCTTGAGTTACAGAGTGAAGTGACCTTTGGAATAATGGGAGCAGCAAACCTGAGGAAGGAAAGCTGGTAGAATCTAAATTTAACTGGGTTTTGTGTTGGTTTGGTTTTTTTTTTAATTTGGCTCTGCTGCTGTCAGTCATTAAAATTACAAGGTTTAGGAAACGTATACTTGTTTAAGGTACACAAGTCTGTGGGACCTGATGAGATGCATCTGTGGGTCCTGAGGGGGATAGTGGATGAAGTGGCTGAGTCACTATCCATCATATTTGAGAAGTTGTGGCAGTCCAGCAAAGGTCCTGCTGACTGTTAAAGGCAAATATAATTTCCCCATTTTTAAATAAATTAAGAGGACGTGGGGAACTACAGGCCCGTCAGTCTCACCTCTGTGTCTGACCAGATCATGGAGTGGATCCTCCTGGAAACTATGCTCAGGTACATGGAAAATAAGGATGTGATTGGTGACAGCCAACATGGCTTCACTAAGGACAAATTGTGCCTGACAAATCTGGTGGCCTTCTATGATGAGGTTACAGAATTCATGGCTAAGGGTAGAGCAACCTGTGTCATCTACCTGGACCTGGGCAAAGCATTTGACACTGTCCCACATGACATCCTTGTCTCTAAATTGCAGAGACATGGGTTTGATTGTCGGACCACTTGGCAGAGAAGGAATTGGCTGGATGGTTCCAATCAAAGAGTTGCTATCAACAGCTCGATGTCCAAGTGAAGAGCAGTGGCAAGTGGTGTTCCTCAGGGTTCGATGTTGGGACCAGTGCTGTTTAACATCTTCATAGGAGACATGGGCATTGAGTGCACCCTCAGCAGGTTTGCTGATGACCCCAAGCTGTGATGCTGTTGACATGGCGGAAGGAAGGGATGTGCCATCTAGAGGGACCTTGACAGGCTTGAGAGATGGGCCTGTGCAAACCTCATGAAGTTCAACAAGGGCAAGTGCAAGGTCCTGCACATGGGTTGAGGCAATCCCAAGCACAAATACAGGCTGGGTAAAGAGTGGATTGAGAGCAGCTCTGCTGAGAAGGACTTTGGGGGATATGAGTTGATGGTAACTATGAGTCAGCAACGGACACTTGCAGCCCAGAAAGCCAACTGTATCCTGGGCTGCATCAAAAGGTGTGGCCAGCAGGTCAAAGGGAGGTGATTCTCCCCCTCTACTCTGCTCTTGGGAGACCCCCCCTGCAGTGCTGTGTCCAGCTCTGGGGGCACCAACATAAGAAGGAGATGGACCTGCTCAAGTGAGTCCAGAGGAGGGCTTCAAAGATAATCAGATGCTGGAACACCTCCCTTATGAGGACAGGCTGAGAATGTTGGGGTTGTTCAGCCTGGAGAAGGCTCTGGGGAGACCTTATAAAGGCCTTCCAGTACTTAAAGGGGGCTACAGAAAAGATGGGGAGGAACTATTTATCAGGGAGTGTAGGGATAGGACAAGGGTTAATGGTTTTAAACTAAAAGACGGTAGATTTAGATTAGATATAAGAAAGAAATTCTTCAGTGAGAGGGTGGAGAGGCACTGGCACAGGTTGCCCAGAGAAGCTGTGGCTGCCCCATCCCTGGCAGTGTTCAAGGCCAGGCTGGACAGGGCTCTGAGCAACCTGGTCTGGTGGAAGGTGTCCCTGCCTACGGCAGGGGGGTTGAAACTAGATGATCTTTAAGGTCCCTTCCAACCCAAACCATTCTATGTTTCTATGAATCTTAACAGCAAAGGTTGTCTTCTTTCTGCAGCATACAATTTAGGTGTTCTTAATTTGGAGGAGCTCATGCTTCCTGCAGGGAAGGAAATGAAGCCTGCAGCCAAACTGAGTGTTGAGCGGTGTCTACACACGCTGCACCTCAGATGCTTCTCATTTATCCTATGTCTGGATGATGACAGCTTATTAGAAATAGTTGAGTTTACAGGAGAGCTCTTCAAACATGAAGTAACAGAGAAGTTACTGCTTCAGGATTAATCTTATGTATTTATACATTAAAATCGCAAATTATTTGTAATTTTTAATGGGTATAATTTCTTCCTGTTTGTTATATACATAGGCCAAAATATTTCTTGCATATCAAAGTGTAATCAGATTGCTTATATACTAGACTTCGCTGAAACCTCTTTCGGAATGTCTCCACAGTTCCCCTTGTCTTCTACAAAGCAGTGTAAATTACAAGAAGAATAATTGGGAAAAAGTGTGACAAAATAGAGCTTCATCACTTAATTGTTCATTATATTAGCTTACATGTCCTAGCTGTTAAACTCTTTATTACCATAATATTTATTGAATTTAATACTTATTTAGTATAGTCTTAAAACTACCATCTCATATATAGGCCAGGGAAAATGTCTTCTATTGTAAGCAAATGCTAATTATGTCATATCATCTTCCTTCATTTTTGACAAACATTTTAGTATATATTGAGTCCCATCCTGTAAGTAGGCTGACCATAAGGCAAGAGTGAAGAGCATTATGTGATGGTGCACAGGCATGGAGGACATTGTTATACTCAGTATCTTGCATCTGTGCAAAGCTGATCTGGTGTCTGACTTCAAGTGGTTGCATAAGCTGGCACTGTATTTGCTGTGTCTGTAAGAGTGGTATTCAACACACTAGTATCTTATTCTGCTAGGCATTAATGTGCCTGCTAAAGTATCCCCTATTTAGTCTCTTCAGTCTGAGGTATGAAAATGCTTAAATAAGTTGAGTTTGAAGTTCTACTTTTTCAACCTAATAGCAACAAATTGTTTTATTTTTCATGTACAATACCTTAGCTTCACTGTATATTCATCCATGTTCCCTATGGGTTTGGAGCATCTTTAAATCCTTATTGATGTCTCTTTATTTTTGCAGCAAAGGTTGCAAACTGTGGAGGTTTCCAGGAGCTTGAAAGGCTCTCACTGTTATTACAGTAAATTATAACGTTACAGAAACTGGTTAGAAAAACTTCTTTAGAACACTTAATAATATGCCTGCTTTAAAAGAGCTGGACAGTAGCCGTATGTTCACACAAATCAAAGCCAGTGACAGCTTTTCTCCCTTGCATTTCTTCATTGCTTGATCTTGTGACAATGGTGGGTTGGCTCCTTGATGCAGAGAACCTTAAAATATCTGATATCATGAAGGAGCAGCATCCCCAGTCTAGGAGTTTAAAATTATCTTGGCAATGGGTTTTGCCACTTGCACTGATTTTTCTAGACTAGAATAGTTTGAAAGTGTTAGGATTTTGGGGTTTTTTCTCTCCTTTCTTGATTTAGGAATTATATACCTGCATTGCAAGTAAACATACACTGTAAAATCTTCACCAAGATGAAGCACGCCTGCCTCTTCTACAGCAAGGTTAGGTTAATGTAAAAGGACCAAGGGATAAAAGATAGAATTAACATAACTCTAAAAACCTGACTTGCTTTTCAAATATTGTTACAGTTTGTACCCGATATCTTCCAAAGAAAAATGTAGAATTTTGCTTAAAGCCTCTTTAAAATAAATTATTTCTATTCAGTTCTTTTACCTGCAATGAGATCAATTACATGAATCACTTAGGAAATAAAAATCATAAAACCCTTTATGGTCAGGAATACACTAAAAATAGCGGATGTTAGATTTTACCAGCATTAAAAACTGTTAAAGGCCACTTTTTCTAATGCAATGCCAGATACTAAGAGAGGACTAGCTAGCTGACTGAGGCAGATGGCAGTTGTGCCTCTTTAGCAATGAACAGTTGCTGAACAGCTGATGTAGAAGCTTTGCGTCACTGCAAGCAGTCTTAATTTATTTCAGCTAGACAATTGGAAAAAAAAGCCTTCAATATGGTTTAGTGAAATTATGTCTTTCTCTTTTTGCTCAATTATTTGTGGGAAAACTGATTTTCTGACACTTGACCACAGTAGGAAATGGAATTGAATGCAGCAAAGTTCAGGCCTGTATTTGGCTAGTTTTCAGAAAAAACACTGGCATTAACTAAGTTTCTGTCTAGATTCGTGGCTGCAGCCTCTATTCCACAAGTTAAGACTATAAAGGCTGAAATCTAAGTCCATACACTATTACCCTCCCAGTCTCCTTTTTCTAACTTGGTTTTAGCAATGGCACTCAGAAACACTGGTGTATTTCAGCCATTCATCCAACATAGATGTCTACTGAAGCTAAAAACTAAAATCACCGCAAACACGTAACTCCCCTAGGAATTTATTAGTATTTAAAACAAAAAATTAGCCTTTCTGAATCCAGCTCATGTTAAGGATTTTAATCAGACCCTGTCCTGGTTTCAGCCAAGCCAGAATTACCTTTTTTTTTCTTAGTAGCTAGAGCGATGATGTGTTTTGGATTCAGTAGGGGATTTGGTACACGAAGAATGCTGATAACACACTGATGTTTTCAGCTGTTGCTGAGAGATCATGGACTCCAACTCCTCATGTCCTGCCCAGGCTCAGGTGTACAAGGAGCTGGGGGGAAGCACGGCCAGAGCACTGGACCCAAACTGGCCAATGGAATATTCCATATGATGTAACATCATGCTCAGTATGTAGAGGAGGGTCAGCCAGGAAGAAGGGGGTTCTAACTCCCTTCTGGGACTGCAACTGTGGGGTCTTGGTATTTCACAATTGCTAGCCAGGAGTGGGCTGGATATTGGGCCAGAGGTGGTAAGCAATTGCATTGTGCATTACCCTTTTGTACCTTCTAGTATTGTTTTATTTCAGTTATGAAACTGTTTTTATCTCAACCTACAAGTCTCCCTTCACCCCTCCAATCAAAATTCCCCATTCCCCAGGCAGGGGACAGTGAGCAAGTGTCTGCCTGTCAGCCAGGTTTAAACCATAACAGACCTATACAATATCTTTCTTAATATGATGATATACCACTTTCCTGGCCTCTGCCAGTGGTGGCCACTGTAACATATACTGCTGCCCCAGCAGCCTCCTAAAAAAAAAAGTATACTGTAACTGCTAGTTCTGGTATTTGTCATTCAGATACAAAGTCTGAGGAATACAAGAGATGTTAAAATGAGACAGAAATCTACCATGTGGGGTTAAAAGACTTAAATCTATCATGTAGTAAAAAGACTTAAAATTATTTCAAAGTGAAAAATACTTTATTGCTGCAGTGCTTTCTAAATACATGTGATGAGAGGTTTTAAAGAAATAGCCTGTTTCAATGCACATATAATTAGTAGTGCCAAGTTATTTGTTTACTTATCAGGGGCAACTCAACATAAAGAAAAAAAAAAATTAACTGTCTTGAGAAAATTCTCATCTTCACCATCTACCATCACTTTATGATACACAACTCTCAGGGGGAAAGATTTGTACCTGGATTTTAAAAGAAGCAAAAGTTAGTATACAAGAGCTTTTTGTTTTTAAAGAAACAAACAAGAATTGCTCAACTGCACAGAAATTATATGTTGTCACAGAAAATAAGAAAACAAGTCCCCAGGAGAATATAGTTTTTGTTCTATAAGGAACTAAGCAACATACTGGAGAATTCTAAACAAAGGATTTCAAATAAAACCACAGGCACTGAAGTAATGAGAACAGAATTGCTCAACAATATCAAACTGAAATGTTGATCTTGTCCTGAAAAAAACAGTTTAGCTACACATCCTTCTATTCCATCTGTATAAAGAAGCAGTTGCTTCTGAAGGTGTGTACGTAGACAAAAAAAAACACATATAACTTAAAACCATTTTAAAAATAGACCATAAAAAATAAGGTAATTCTTAGTAATCCAAGTAAAATGCACTGTTAATCCTGATGCAGAGATGCTGCAGTTAAAAGAGCAATAAAATACTATTCCTTCATTTTAGCCAAGAAAATACTATTCCATGGCTACTAAGCAACAAAGGGATTAATAGTGGCAGAAGTGATCTTTGTAAGAGCACCGTAAGAGCAGATGGAAGTCCCAAAGCTCACAATTTTTGCACAGAATTAAAAACTTCTTTAGAGCTTGTGAAATGAACTGTGGTTTCAAACAAATCAGTCAAGCAACAGTGTATCTTCATTTAGCACAAAACTACAATACTTACAATCCGTCAAAACGATGATGTATATTCATTTATTTGGCATACATTTCTCTCTCCAGTGCTGCTTCCATTCGACTTTGTTTTAAACCCTACAGGAAACAATTTAGCAAAATCTTATTTTTATTAACATGGAAATGAACTCTTTAGTCACAGAAAAAAATATTTTTGGACAATTTTTTAGTCCTCTACAAATCAAGAATGGCTTTTAACAGTTTGGGGAAATCAGAATGGGCAGTTTAAAAAGGACAAAAGCCAAACTACATAATCTTTATAAATTAGTGGCTTTAGATAATAAATAATTTAAAATCTATATTTCTTGTTCAATTTAAAGTAAATTAAAGCAATCCACAGTTATACATAATCTGAAGCAAGGAATTCCAAAAGTAGTCTTCTGAAGATACTCGATGGCACCAAATCCCTCCTTTCCAACTTCCCCAATGCAAAGAGTTTAATTCCTCGTTCTTCATAAGTGTACAAAGGAAAACAGAAATTAGTACCCTGTCACAGATTTTTCACAACTATGCTGTCAGCTTCTGCTGGACCTTCAACATCACATGAGACAACTACTGATGAATAACCTCTGCAAAAATGCCAAATCTGATCCTAAATGTGACACTACCATCATACTCAAAGAAAATACATAAAAGGCTACTTAATAAATATATTCAAATTTACTCTGATCCTAAATGTGATACTACCACTTATACTCAAAGAAAACACATAAAGTCTGCTGATAAATATATTCAGATTTATTTCACCTGTCTACATAGACAGAACTGGTCATTTCAGAATGGCTATGAAACACTGGCTATAAAAGTACCTCATGGGACTACTCCAGCAGAATAAAGAACTAAAGCAACATCAACTATACAGATATGTTGGCTCATGTGATTCCGAGTCAAGGACAAGAATACTTACACAATACAAAAACACCCTTAAATTTGGCTATAATAAATTAGAATAAGAGATGTAGAAAACAGCCCTCCCTGTCTTAACTTCTTGCTGAGAACAGCAGTAGCAACACAAAAGCAAAGTTACAAAGACACTTCAAGACAAAAGTGGCACATACCAGATAATACCCAGTGTGATAACCACTCATGTACCAGGCTATCAACATGCTCCCCAGTGCTTCATCATCCTCAGGATAATCTGGCCTCATAGGTGGTGGAGGAGGAATCAACTAAGAAATCACAAAGCAAATGTCTGTATTTCAACAGGATATATCCCAGGTTAGATAGCAAACAATTCTAAAAGATCAAAAGATAAAACTGTAAAATAGGAACATATCCTCAATGCATTCTCTGAGAAGGAGTCAAATAAGATGGTATTTTCTGAAAACACTGATATCCAAAGCCTGGGAGAAAGAGGATTCCTATAGGTTGACTCTACAGAAAAAGTTTTATTAGGGGAAAATATTTATCTGCATCAGTAAAATGCTGTTAATCAAACCTAAGATGTAGTTTCTTCAAATATTTTCTCTCTTGATACTCTTACCCACAGCTTCACTGTCACAAAAATAAAGTGCAGACGACACCTTGTGCATTAGATTCTTGTGATATTTGTAACCGAGTTATCAAATACCTGGAAAATACAGACTAACACAGAAATGTGTTCTAAAAACACAGGCGGCAAGCACATTTAGTTAGAAAACTTGAGATCTCCAATACTGATATCTGACACTTCTTTCCTCATTCTCCTACCACTTACCGGTGGTCTTGCTGGGAAGGGTGGGGGGCAGCAAGATAAAAAGAATGGAGATGCCCTGAGTCTTGATCCAGGCTATATTGAAAAAAATGAATAGTGCAAATTAAAAAGAAATTTCAGGCATTAGGATTTTATTCAAGAGAATTATTTGAAGCAATATGCATATCTTAAACTAAAGGCAACATGCCAGCAATTTAATGCAACTGCAATAACAACATACAGTGGTTATTTCTATGGAGCATTCCATGACTAGAAAAGTAAAAAACTTACATTACTTGTGTCACTGAGGTAAACAAGTACTGAAACAGGGCTCTAGTTAATACAAGCCTTTAAAAAAGTTTTTTCTAATTAGAGATCAGTGGTTGCACTCTCACATGAAGAAACATATCCAATACTGCCCACAGGCAAACAGATAATTTCTCTCCTTCTGTGTGGCTGGAGGCACATGCTGACTAAATTCCACTATGCTTTTGAATGTCTTTAAAATGAGCTTAGATACAAATCTATTAATACGGAAGGAAGAAAAAAAAAAACCAAAACCTTACAAAGAAATCTTGTACAAACAGTAAGAGAAAACATAATGCTGCATTCAGCTGCTCTATTAGACTCCTACACAAGAGAAAAACTGAAGAGCATATCAACATCCGAGTCCTCATAATTCAATAGAGAAGCTACAACTGAGAGCATCTGTGACATCCGGACATGACTTTTTCTGCCTTCAGTGTCCTATATAGTGAAACATATCAATAGGGTAGAAAAAGTGCAACCTTAAAACATCAGCAGTGCTATTACTAACAGCATTATCACAGTCCAGGGAACATCATCTCTCTAAAATTACAAAGCAATTGCAAGCAACTGTTAGCTAGGGAGAAGGCTTTCCTCACTAGGCAGCAGCACTGCAAAAGGGTTACACTGTGCCCAGATTATTATGAAATGACATACCAACAGGTTCTAACATGCATATCTGTATATCCATTCTCAAAATGCCTATATTTTGTTTCTAGACAATATCATCCTATTGTGTCAGAATTTATAATAATAATAGGCTTACAGTGGTATATGAATTATTTCAGATAAGGCTGAGCTTACCCTTCCCAGGCCTCCAGCTAATGGCGCTGCAGGAAAATGTAGGTATTGAGAGTAGACACTTGCTCTTGTGTAGTTTTGATATGCCTGGAAAGATTTTTCACTTTCATCGGTTGAATACAGAGTCTCATCTTCATTCTAGAAGAGCAATCCATTTTTATGAGGTGCACTAAACAGGAGTTTACAGCTAGCAATTTTAGTGTGAAAAAGCCTGGAAAGCCCCATTCACATCCTTACCTCTCTCTAGCCCTTCTAGTCCTACTCAGGAAAGATCTTATAACCTCATAACCTTATCTGCTCACCATTTTAGCTATGTAATCTTTCACTCGTGAATTTCTTGTTGTCCCCTTTCTTCCATGCTGGGTTCAAGAAGGGGACGCTTTCCTTCCCACCATCAGCTTGCATCCATTCACAACAGAATCAGGTATCAATTCTCACTTTGAAAAGCACAGTGGTACCACAAATACGGAAAAAGCTGGTTCTCCCAATTTCTCTTTCCTTTTCAGAAGAATGAAAAAGTGTCCCTCACCTCCCCAAAACTCCCCATCCCATTTACTGTTTCATCACTGGCTGGAGGAAGTAGATCAGACAGGTTTTGCTCCTCTTGATTTCCATATCCTGTGTAAGTAACAACACATGTGCCACTCTTCTGATTGATGGCAGCAATAGTTGCTAGGTACAGATTACCATCCTCTGACCAAACAGCATGACAGCTGTCACCAACTTTCCACTACAATAAAAGCAAGAGAGGGAAGTAAATACCTACCACAATCATCAGAGAGAAAGATGTCTTTTTGTAAGCTACTTCTTGTCCCAGCCACGAGAAAGATTACTCCCACCCATAAAATTTTCTTTTATATTTAGCAAAACTGCTCAGCACAACCTATAAATAAGGCTTATAACGTTATCATCCCCCTGACCCAGAATGCTACTCTCCAGGCAACAGAGAAGTACAAAATACAGTACGAGTACCACTAGCACTTACGGGAAAAGTGACCTGTCTCGAAGGCACTATGTTGCTCCTTTTTCTATTTCTGTTCCTTCTATTCTTCTTTCTCCTCATCCCGAGGGGCTGCTCCTGTCTGTCCGAAAGCTCAGAAGACTCTTCGTTCTTTAAAGCAATCTTCGTGAAAAGAAAGGAGAAAGACTAAAAAGCAATGCAGCGGGTCCCGGCGGGGCCCAGCTACCCGCGGGCCGCCCCCCTTACCTTGAAGGAGGCCACCGCCTTGTCGTACGCCTTGATGAGGGCCGTGTCGTCCCACACATCCGAGTCATCGCTCTGCGGAGGACACAGACCGTTTTATGGCGCTCCAAACCCCCGATCCCGCCCCCCGCCCCCCGCTGAGCGCCCACCTGCCCGGTCCCACGCCGGAACA